TAACGTGATTGAGATCCCCAAAAACAATCACGGATTCAATGTAAACATATAGCAATGACAATGAACACTAACCTCGAGTGTAGACGAAAACTGATTTCAAACTCGAATCCAATCGGGGAGAAAGATGAAGTTCGTCAAATGACACGACAATGTAGATGTTTTTCACTGTAAAACTGCTCGCAAATGGTGTGCAGAGGTAGCTGTTGTCGTTGTTCTCGTCGTCGTTCTCAAAAACCCTGGTTGCGCGAGACGAGGAAGTGGGCTGGGAGGGAAATAAAATAGACTTTTTACGTCGCGCAGTGTAGTAAGCGACGTAAAAAGTCATCTTTTACGTCACACCTGGGAGGCGCGACGTAAAAGATGACTTTTTACGTCTCCTATTGGGGTGTGCGACGTAAATTTTTTGTCCCATATTTACAAAATTGCCACCGCGTTTTATTTACGTCGAATATACGTGCATGCGACGACAATTGGGTGACGTAAAAGCCATATTCTGCACTAGTGCCATCTTGTGCTACTGCAACCAACAAGGTACCTCTATATTTTCCATACAAAAAAGTTCCGTCCACTTGAACAATGGTTTGCAGTGAACAAATCCATCTATGCATGACCTAAACGACCAAAACACACGTTTAAAAATATTTGAATTTTGTTGAAGGACTTCACCTTGGTAAGCTGGTTGTGACTGCAGTTTGTAGATGAATCCGAGAACAAATTGTTGCATGGCTTGTAACAAACAAGGCAACTTCTTATACGAATCCTCCCAATTGCCGTAGATGATCTCCACTGCCTTTTGTTTGGCCAACCAGGCCTTCCTGTATGTTATAGTATAACCCGTTGTTAATTGGATGTGGGCTATGATTGTGGAGATTGGTGTTCACGAATCAGCATCAATTATTTGACCAATTGTTTGGGAAATCATTTTATATCCCAACTTGTTGTGGTCTTGGCTGATTAATGGCGAAACGCATGTATGGTGCCCTTCAAACTTCATAATCTCCCAATATTGCTCTCTTGTGCGCAATATTGCTCGACATCTCCAATTGCATTGGTTATCAACACATTCAACAATATATCTACTTTGGTTTGAAATTTTCACCTTGTATTTGCAGTGATTGACAATGTGAAAGCGGTTGATGGCATCATGAACTTGTTCTTTTGTTATGAAACGTTGTCCAAGAAATAGAGTTCCTGCCGGAGAAACAAAAGACTCTCTGTCCAACGCATGACCATACTCTGAGTCTTGTTATTGAATGTGACTTTCAAAGTTAAGAAAATGTTGTGGTGGGTTGTATGGTTCCATGAAGTTTGGTGCATGTGTAGGGATATGTGGTTGTTCGTCCTCTGAATCATCTTGGTGTTGGCTAAGAATTTCATCTTCGTCTTCATCCTCACTAAAAGGATCAATGAATTCAATTGGGAGGCCAACAATTTCGTTCTATTGTGTTGGTAGTTCTTCGTTGATGTTGGTGGAAGGCCCACTTAGAAGTTGGGTAAAAGGGATGTAATCATTATGTGTGGATATTTCTGGGTCAGTGTTTGGGAAAACTTGGTAGGGTAAGGGTGAAATTTCTGGTGAGTGTGTGTTGGGGTATGAAGAAGAAGAAGTTTTAAATGAAACAAAAATTTCAATACCACATAGACTTGAGTTTGAATCATGAACATCGAACATGACCTCCACGTCGTCATCATCTTTCAACTCAACAACAATGAAGTTGTTGATCCCAACTCCGAGTCTAGTTGGGCAGCGAAAATGGATGGTTGCTACATTTTCGTGGGGTTCTTTCTCCAATTTCTTGTGGATCAACTTCTTCAACCTTTGTAGAGAAATTACTCTCTTTAAAGGAACAAGTTTTGCAGTCCCAGTATTGAAGGTAACTCCCTCCATGGGACATGGGTTCATGAAACCATCATAGTGGACAATAGTAGACACTACACCCATTTTAGGAGTGTGGAACACAAAGAAGACTAAAGGTAAGAAGAAGAAATAATGCAAATAGCTTCAGAGATTTAGGAGTGTGCAATGTGAGAACTTCAAAGAATGAAAGTGGTCTATTTATGATGAAGTCCATTGGTTTGAATCCAATGCTCCCTCACATGGTTTCTGACGCACACAAAACCCAAGCAAAGTGGGTGGGTCAACATCTCTTTAAATATGTTTGGATTCTTCTGCTTTTGTCTAACCCAATGCAGGGAATCCAAGATTGGAATCCTAACTTAGGTGGGTAACTCAACATTGGATTCTTTACTTGTGTGCATCAGAAAGACATGGGAATCCTGACTTGGGTGGGTGACTCAGCATTGTAAATAGTTGCAGGTTTCCTCGCTCAAGCGATGGGTTTCTCGCTTGAGCGAGAATTGACCACAGGTTAAACGTCCAACGCAGTTAGCCACATAATGCAACTTGGGTCACCACATATTTCAATCACTTCTCGCTCAAGCGAAAGTACCCGTCGCTTGAGCGAGAATTGACCCGAGATTTTAGATAGCGGTTCTAGAACTAACCACTATTAAAAGTATATTTTAGAAAGCGGTTAACGTGGAACCGCTATTTTATATTCACTTTTAAGAGCGGTTAAAATATTAACCGCTCTTAAAAGTGACACATATATGATAGCGGTTTCACTTTAACCGCTCTTAAAAGTGACAAATATATGATAATGGTTCCACGTTAACCGTTTTTAACCGCTATTATAGAACATGTGGAACCGCTATTACATGTGTTTTCTGTTATAGTGGGTTTCTTTGCTTGAGCGAGAGAGAAATAATCGATCATAATTTTGTATATTCGATTATTTTAAAATTATGTTTGATTAGTTTAAATTATAATCAATTATAAATTTCTTCGCTCAATCGATGGATGTCTCGCTTGAGCGAGAATTGACCACGGTCCAACGCAGTTACCCAATCAATTCTCGCTCGAGCGAAGTAACTCATCGCTTGAGCGAGAATTGACCATAGGCTAAACGTCCAACGCAGTTAGCCACATAACGCAACTTGGGTCACCACATATTTTATTCACTTCTCGCTCAAGCGAAAATACTCGTCGCTTGAGCGAGAATTGACCGGAGATTACCCCTTTGTTACAGATTTCCTCGCTCAAGCAAAGGGTTTCTTCGTTTGAACGAGAATTGACCCGAGATTACCCCTTTGTTACAGATTTCCTCGCTCAAGTGACGGGTTTCTTCGTTTGAGCGAGAGTTGATTGCGCGAAATAATCGATCATAATATAAAATAATCGATTATTTTAATACATGAACAGTAAAGAGTGTTAGTTGTGTAAATAATGTTCCAGATGTGCTATTTTGAGAAATATTTTTAAAAATAGTATTATTTATGAAAAAAAAAGTCGTATTCATGATTGGATAATTAAGAACATAAAAATATATAAACTTTTGAATGTATATAAAAGGAAGGAATATGAGACTTAAATTATTTTAATTTCATATATTTTAAAATATTGAATGTTGTATAATTTTTTCAGCACATTTAAATTAAATAAAACTCTGTCTTGTAGAACTTCTTTAATTAGCTTATACCTTTAATTTATTTATCTTTAAGCAAAGTTTTTTCTCTTATTCTCTTATATTATAAATCTTTCTTAGAGGAGATAGGTCAAGTTTCTTAAAAAATTTCGAAGAAAAATTTTATTTTTTAAATTAATAATTAAATTAAAATTAATTATTTTATAAATAGTATATACTAAAAAAAATTAAATTGTCTTATTTAAAAACTTTTAAGATTATTTTTTACAAATCGTGCTTTGAAGCCTGAACAATCCTGGCTCATAAATTTTGATTTTTGTTAATCTTGATATGTAAAAAAGCCCCATAATAAGGATAAATTTACACGAGATATCAATTAAAATTTAAGATTAATATTTAGACGAGAAATCAGTTAAAATTTAAGATTAATATTGAATTAAGCGCGTAATGATTGATTATAAGTGTTGATAGGAAACCATCTAACCATTTCTCATTGCAAAATTACACAACATATACCTTTCAATAAGGTCATCGATCTGGTTAACGTTGCTCCACAATTTCTTTGCAATTTTTCATTCTGTAAATTAAATATAGTTTATTGTTTTAAACCTATTTTAATATTTTTTTCACTTCATACATATTTTCTATTATAACTATCCAAATAAAATCAATTTTCATGTAAAGAATAACAAATTCAGATTTTTTCATGAATTATATATATTTATTTGAATGTGTTTAAATTTTATAATTTTAAACATGTTTTTTTAATATAAAATATACAATTTTGAAAATGTTAATATAATATTTTTATTTTAAATAATAATAAAAAATGTAATACTTAATTTAAATAAAAATAATAAAATATAGAATTTCAAATATTATAATATATTAACAACCCATTTTTTTAAAATATTCATCTAATAATATTTTTAGATTTTTATAATATTATTTATCTATTTTACTTCATTCTATTTTTATAAATAAAAAAATATTTAGAAGATAATATTTGAGAAAATTGGGTATAAAATTCGCAGGTCATAATATCTTTCACAAGATATGATAGGAAAAGAGTTCCAACAGCAGAAAAGAAAATAATAGGAGCTAGTGTTTGCTAGGTCTATAAATTTGTACCTCTCAAAAAAAAAAAAACTATAAATGCACATTTAATATATATCACCAACATCTATCTAACATCCTATTATAAGTGAATAAAACTATATATATATATATATATATATATATATATATATATATATATATATATATATATATATATATATCAGTGTTGACAAAAAAAATGTTATGTGTTTTACCGTTATAAAAAAAAAAAACATATAATGAGACATATATCACTTGTTTTATCACATATAACCACATCGACTTATATGTTATTTATTATTTAAAAAAAAATAACCACGTATAATAAGAAATTGGATAAGTACTGTAAAATATTATTTTCCAACTTGCGAAAAATATAATTTGAAGGGACATGGTAAGATATTACAATTCTTTGGACTATTTTGGAATAAACTCAATTTTGATGCTGTGTATGATGAGATCTCCTTTTCCCATCTTAGGTACCAAAGTAACCAGCACATGATCATCTTCTTCAGCTTCTAAAATCTCCAGCACTTTCGATATCCCTACCTTAAAGCTACTGCTAATTTTATGGCCATATCGGTGGAGCAGATTCACAAAACTTCCCACAAACTCTGTCTGATCTGGATCACTCAATCTGTCTTCATCATCATCAACATGAACATCAAACTTCACAAATTTATCACTGTCAAACTCAATCCCTTCTATCACTAAAACCTCTTCCTCTTGTTCTTTCTCTTCCTTGCTCCTCCATTTCTTTGGCCTCTTAACGATTACACTCGTTATGGAATCCAAAACCAAAGGAAATTTGCTTGGCTTTGAACTCCGACGTTGAGCCTTCTTCGTTTGTCTCAGTAGCTTACTTTTTCGTGATGTGGGTGGGGTATGCAACCATGGAAGATCAACATCTTGGTACACATACCCCAATTTTTTAGTATCAACACAATCTCTTACCTTAACACGAACAAAATTAGCATTCTCATCATAGAAGAAAAACTCAGAATCCAACCAATCTTGATCACTGTAGTCCCTTCGTCCTTCTCCCAGTGTTTTCCATAACTCCCACATTCTATCCAAGTTCGAGTGATGAATATAGAAAATGGGGTCTCTAGCAGCTGTGTAGAACGTTCCCATGTCTTCGTGGTGTGGAGTATCAGCACTACCAACCCATGTATGAACAGTGTTATGTGGAGCAGCCTCCACAGAGCCAATACCGGGACGAGGGTTTTCCCCTAGTCGAAAAGGGCTTCCCATGAACAATTCAGTGGTACTTGCTAGCACCATTTGCTTGTACATGATGGCCAAGTTATACGAAACTTGTTGATGAGAAGGGACATCGTTATTATCATGTGCACCGTAGTTCAGGTTAATCACGTGTGGTGGCAAGTGTTTCTGGTTTCGGAGTTTGTGATAAAGTGACGAATTAGGGATTGCCAAATACGATGGCATTTGCATGCCCTCTATAGAATCCCAGTTCCAAAATGGTAAAGCAAAGCTAGGGTCACCAATTAAGCTCCCCAAAATTCTTTCAAAGAAGTAAATATACACACGATGGAAGGGAAAGAAAAACCAAGATCTGTGAATGTCGAGCTTCGTGTCCTGAAAAGGATTAGATAAGTGATAGGCACCGTTGCAATAAGCGCAATGGACTTTAGCCTGTTGAATAAAGCTACGTGGGTCATCATCAGGGAGTGCTTTCATGAGTGCAATGCCCTTCTCAAATTTTGCTATGTACTCCTCGTCTAGCAAGTGGAACGGTTTTCTTACTCGGAGTGTGGCATTGGGAGAAGCAAAATCTTGGAAATCTATATGATCTTAGAGAAAGATGGTGCAGATGGACAACAATGGTTAGATGTTAGTGGATTAGAAGGTAAATCAACAGGAAAGCACCTGCTTACATTAGGGGATATTGCTCTAGAAATGGAAGATAAGTCATGCATATTTCTAGAGCCAATGAAGGGTTTCCTCCAAAGATGAGACTTGTCTCTTTCATTGGAGCTTGTGACATGGCCATTTTGTTTGGCATGAGGGGTTTTATGTGTTTGTCTCAAAATGATGGTCATGGTGGTGGTGAAGATGGAGAAGTGATTGTTGACTTGGGAAATCAAAAGAATCAGCAAGAGAAGGAGTGCAAAGAATAGATGTAGAAGCTTGGAAGGAGTACTCATTGCTGCTCTAGCTTAACTTTTTCATGCTATAAAAATTATGTCAATATAAATAAGCATGCACTAATGAAGAAAATAGTGAGTATGATAAATTTTGAATGGTAGCCATAAAATCTCTGACATAGGTCGTTGCAATGGAACGAGATAAATCTTAAAACGTGTCTTCATGATTGTCTTAAATTAAACTCCAACCAACTTATCGGTCGGACGTGTTTGGAAAATTATAAGTAGACAACTTTTGCAAATGTCCATTTTGTAAATTGATAAAGGGATCGAGAAACAAATGAGAGCAAAAATCGAGAACCATTTTGATTGAGTTAAAGACTGATAAATCGAAAGATAGTTGGAAAATACGTTCGACGACCATGTGACAATATAAGCGAGAATTAGAATCGAGAATCGAAGGAAGAATGTTTAATATCCGTTAGTGAATGAAATCGAGAAATCAGAATTATGTAATGTTAAGGTTAAGGGAAATCAAAGGCAAGTCAAACGTTCTCGAGATTCCGAAATCAACATCGAGGGAAAGGTTAACCCATGTATCAAAATCCCGGCTAAGTTATAAAGAGAGGAACAATTGACGTGCACATCGAACATGGTAAGCGGTGACAAAGGTCGAAGGTCAAGGGATCAGTTACCTCATGTATGGGAACGTGAATGCAGTTTCTAAACCATAGAGCTAGGAGTAAAACTACAAAAGACGTGCACGCAGAACGTGGTAGCAGTTTTCGTTAACTGCTCCTAAGAGATTACTTGAAAGATGCTCTATAAATAGAGCGAAGGATGAAGGGAAAAGGGAGTGTGGAAATTGGCAGAGAGAGCAGGAATACTAGTGAGAAGTCTACCAGAGAACGACGAACATCATGAAGTTTTTGGCGATCTGGATTTTCATGTTCATTGATTTCCTTTACCGCTTTCTTTATTTTTCCTGGTAATTTACTTTGATGCAGTTTATGTTTAGCAACTTTAAGTTTCTGTATTTTCGATTCCTTGTCATTTCCCTTTAATGAAAGTTAAGTTTCTGCGTTTAAGTTCCTTGTCATTTATATTAACGTAATTTCGATTTCCTGCTGTTTAAATTTCCGAAATTTCGATTCTTTGTCGTTTACACTTAATGCAAGTTTGAGGTTTCCGCATTTTACATTTCTTTACAAAGTTAATATTTTGCACTGTTTTTCGATTCGACACTTTACTGCTTTCTTTATTTTCGATGTCTCCTAGCAGAAAAACACAAAAGATTACTTTTTGCATGCCATATTCCATTAGTAGCATCATCTCGACTTTGGTAGCGCTTTCAATTTCATACGCATTTCGATTGAAAATTAATTACTAGCCTAAGTAAAAAGAATCTACGGGGTTGAGTTTTGGTTAGAACAAAATATCTTAGGAATCGAAATCAATCAAAATTCCACCAGAAACAGTAACTTATATGGGGATCTCGTTTACATGATTAGATTTTTGAAAAGAGGAACAAGTAATATAAAAAGAAACAAAATTTAAAAGAAAATAATGATCTTTAATACTTCATTTGAATTTTCGGAAAGTGTGGAATCGAAAGTAAGGAATATAAGAAAATAAACGGAAATAAAATATTAAAAAAATGATTTTTTTTTCAATGGAAACATGTTTATTTTTCACATATAAATAAATAATTATAAGAGAAATATTATTTTACTAAATTATTTTATTTAAATAAATTATTAATAACTTTTATATTTGTAATTTTAATTTATATTATATATATAATTACTATTTTAATAAAACGTCATAAGAAAGTGAAATAATATATATATATATATATATATTTTATTTATTTATAGTAAGATATTATTTTATTAATTTAAATTCAAATATTATCAGAAAAAAATTATGATAAAAAATATTTTGTAATTATATATTAAAATATATAATATTAATAAAATGAGATATTAATTTAAAGATATTGATGTAAAAAAAATATTAACAAGAAATTAATTAATAATTATATAAATAATTTTATAATTAAATAAATATTTAATTTGAACATAAATATTTCCTTCATTTTTCTATCACTTTCTTATGAAAAAACAAATATATATACATCATTGATGATGATAAGGTTTGAATGGCTAAAATAAGCGTAGCCTTGTCATGGTTGTCCAACTAACCGTCTTCATTGCATTGTTATGTTTGAACTTTAAATTTTTTTTTATATATATAATTAGTTATGCTCCTAAGATACAATTAATACATAATAAACTTTTTTTTATATAATTAGTTATCCTCCTAAGATCATGATAAATCAAATTATTATTAATTTAAGGAAGAGAAAAAAAATCAAAATTATAAATAAATAAAAAAAATACTGGGGAAAGCTCTGGTAGAGTAATAATGTTGTCCTTTTTACTGATCAATGTCAGATAACCAATCAATGTCCTTGTCTTTAAAAGGTGTTGTTAGGTCCACGTTCTTAACATGTTTTTCACTTTAATTCAACGTGACTTTTCAATGTCAGATAACCAATCAATGTCCTTTTCACTTTATTTATGAAAAAAAGTCTCAGGACACGACCCATACCGTCATTTATTTCAAATATTAAGAAAGAAAATATTACGACCAAATCTTTTCATATATAATTATCTTAGAATTTTTTTAAAAAATAATAACTTGTTTATATTGTATTTTTATTATTATATTATATAAAATTATTTTATAACAGATATAATAATTATTATTATATTATAAAAATTATAAAATAATTATACATTATAATTGAATTGTTAAAAAATATTTAAAAAGCAAGTTTTTCATATTTAATAAGATAACAATCATATATGCACGTGGGATCAATTCACAATCATCTTGATGTTGATGTGAAAATTTTATTTATATATATTTGACTCTTTTTTTTCCTTTAAGAAATTGAGTAAAATAAAAATAAATAATATAATATTTATTTTCATCTATTTTAAAATTTATATTTAAATTTAAATTATTATTTTTTTATTTGACATTTTTTTCCTCTCACCCATTCTTCCTTCCTTCCCCTTTCCTAATTTTAATTTAACACTTTTTTTTAATTTTTGTTCATTCATATTCATAATCTCTTTAACCAGATTAATTTTTATAAGATTTTTAACTTTTTTTTAAATTAAAAAATCATGTTTTTAATTAAAGTAGTAAATAATTTTTTTTAAAATACTACAATGAAACATAGAAAAATCAAAATTGATATCTGGCGGTCCTATAGATCAATGAAACAAAATTATGGTCCCATATAACTTACATTTTTAAATAAATTATAATTTTTTATTCTAATCTACTCTATCTTATGCCAATGAGTTAACAAGACAATTTTTATTTATTTAAAAAAATTAACATATCTATATTAACATAATTAATTAAAAAATATTTATATAAAAATGAATATATATATATATATATATATATATTAATTTAAATTATATTAATAAAATTAAATTAAATTTTAAATATAATAATTTAATATATATATATATTATAAGAGGAGATATCTATTTAGTCTAAAACTAAAAATTAAAAATTTATTATTTATTACCATTATTTATTCTTTGAGGGATTTATTAATCTAAAATAATAATTTATTATAATCATGAGATCGTGGAATAAGTAGATGGTAAAAACTTTCTCTTCTATTTATTTTTATAATAAATAAAAATGTTAAAATAAACTTAACCCGATGACTTGACTTAAACGATAGGTCAGGTTGGATTAAAAAATTTGTGGTATAAATTAAATTGAATTTTTTTTTATTTTTCTGTTTAGGTCATAATCTACATTAATTTAGGTTAAGTTAGCTCATAGACTTATAGACAACCTATTTTATAAAATGTTAATTATGAATATATATGTATATATATATATATATATAATTATAAATTAGTTTATAAGTCATTCACATATTTTAAGAGTAAATATGAGATTAAGTTTCTAATAACCATTTGTTCTAAAATTTAAAGGTTAAAATTAATTATTATTTTAAATTAATAAATTATTAAAATAAGAATAATAATAACATAAGTTTTTAATTGTTATTTTGAAATTGAAATAATTTATTTTCTTATAATTTATATATTAAATTATTATATGTTAAATAAAAATCAATTTCATTAATATAATTCAAATTTTAAAAATATATTATTTATTTTATTTGTATTTAAATATTTTTAATTAATAATTTTGATATAAACACGTTAATAATTTGTTTTTTTTTCAATAAGATAAATTTTGGTTCATTAGCCTGTTGGCCTAACATAATGTTAAATTAAACTAAAAATTATGGTCCATTTTAAGATATAGGTGAAAATGAATCATTCAATTTTTTTACTTAGTCAATAGGTTAGACCAAGCTAGATTAGGCTACCTATTTTGATAGTTCTAAGAATAAGGGAATCCCTTATCAAATTAATATATAATATATATTTTTTAATTCACTAATATTATTTATATTTTTATTTAAAAAATTATTATTTATAAAATAAGTTGGTTCATAAATTTAGGGGTTAACTTAGCCTATGTAGATTATGGTCTAAATATGTTGGACCAAAATAGGTTTAATATATCTCATGACCAAGATATCAATGTCACAGCTAAATTTTAGATTTTTTATTTTTCTCTTTAGAATTATTGATCATTAAATCTTGTTGTGATCATTAGATTTTTTTTTTTAAGAAATTTAAGTAATATAAATTTCTTATTCTATTACTATAATCAATTAATTGTTTTGATGTCTTTAAGAATACAAGATTCTGGTTAAAAAATTACTACACACAACAACTCAATTATTAATAATTTGAGAAAAAAAAAGAGATTAAAATTTAAAGAAAAAAATAATCAAAATAGAATCACTATTTAAAGATTGTTTTCATTCGTAGTGGAAACATATTTGTGTGTAGAGATGGTTTAATTGGAGTGATCTTTCTAGGATGATATGTCATACGATTTATATACCCAATATC